TACAAAGTTGTCACCTAGTCCTGACCAATTTAAGGTGTATGCTTCACCGACAGTAACTAGCAGCTCTGTCTTAGACTATTTCCAGTAAGAATATAGCTGCAGATCATTCTCATAATCTAAACCTAGATTTCATTCTTTTAAATGTTAATTGATTTTCTCCATTCCATTGGTTAAAAATTAATATCTAATTGCTAAACATAAAACCCACGGGCACAAAATATTCTACATGTTTCTATACTGTTTGACTCATAAAAAAAAGAATTTTTCACATATTATGCTATATTTAGTTTCTTCAAAGAGACGCAAAATGTTTTAAAAAGTCTAGTGACATAAATGCCATAAAACAACTTGTTACCTAGTCAAAATTTATCCAGTTAAAATTCCCTTTTTACCATCCCAGCTTGACCCCCATGGCTCTCCCTCCAGGCACTGTGTGCTCCCACCCAGCCAGGCTACTAGCCAGCCTCACACTTGTTGCCCCAACCTCAGCTTTCTGATACACATTCCCCACCAGGAGAAATCCAACCCGTTCTTCAAGGTTCAGGGCAAACACTCTCCCTTCCTTGTCTGGTCTCTAGGCCTCTTCCCTGAGTAGAAGTGACTTCTCACCTATGTGCTCTTGAAGGAATTCTGCAACTCAGATGCTGCCCTAGCCAACTGTGCCTGGTACACAACAATATATAAGTCTATGTCTCGGAGAGATATATTGTCACCAAACTACTCCTCTCAGCATACCCTCAAATATATATAAAGCTATTTGCAATTATACCGGGTGCTCAGTTGAAAATCACATCCATTTTAGCACAATTTGATACCAAGTCGTCACAAAATGCGAGGTCAAGACTGAAGCTCTTCTGGAAGCAATTAAGGCAGAAGGATCTTTCCTTCCTTCCACACTCAGGCCTAATTCTTTAGTAAATGGTTTCTGAACAATGACACAATCCTCTATTTAAATGAAACTTTTCCACTCTTATTACCGACACAAGAATTGCTCAACAATTCTTTTAACTCTCAAGTTTGTGAGTGGTATGTATTATCAAGAATTTATGGCTCTAAACCCAGAGCACAGAGAAGGTGAAAGGTCTACCACAAGGTCATACAGCCAATCAAAAGGGCCAAAATATGACTCCATTCAGGATTCTCTCCAAAACCTCCTAACATGAAGAACCTGAACATCAGTTAACTTCCAAGACTATCTGATGATGCTTGGTGTTGAGAAAACGTTCAAATATTTGAACTAATGAAGATGATCTAAAACATTTTTAGTTGTGGAAGTTTATTTACAATGTGAAAGTAATTCATCCTTAATCATACTGTCTACATTAACAGATTATTTCAAAATTCACTGTGCAGTTAAAACTATCAAACACAGTTTGGGAAGGCACATACTAACAACTAATCCTTCTGCTCTGCGTAATGGCACTGACCAGACACCCGTCCACAAGAACCACTTTTTCCTTCTTCATGTGTTCCCAGAGGCCCAATAGACTAAACATTAGAGCTCACCCCATTTTCTAATTTCAGCTTGCATTTAAGATAACGCTTTTGTTTCATTTACAGCTCACATGCTGCTGACACAGCTGCCCCTTCTTTGTAATAAACACAGGGCTTCTATATTTAAAAATACAGTGAAACTTTGTTATAACATCCCCTCCCCAGCCTCCGGCCAATTTTCTCTCTTCCAAGCCCCACCTCCACCCCAGGATTTTCTATCCGCGGCGCTCAAAACGTTAGACCCTTTTGGAAAGTCACATTTCTTCTTTAAAGACATCTCATCCTAGTGGTATTTTTCTTCTCCACAGCGTGTGTGTGTGTGTGTGTGTTTTTTTGGGGGGGGGGGCAGACGTGGGCGGAGAACGGGACGGACGCCCTTCCCCAGAGGCCTTCCCGAGCAGAAACACTCAAAAGTCTGTGGCTCCGGAGTCTGGGGTACTTTCTGAGAACTACGGCCGGCGCCCCCGATGTCAAGTTGGGATGACCTCGCAGGCCGGCCTCGGGGCGGGGCTCGGGCGCAGCGGGAGCCTGGGGTGGACACGCGGCCAATCCGGCTGCCGCGGGCAGCTGCGCGGTCAGGAGAGCGCACCCGCGGGCACGGAGGATCTCCGGACAGCCCTCGGCGCCTCCCCGCGCCCCCCCCCTCCTCCGCCAGGGGGCTGCTTTGTGTCGGGGGTGTTTCTAGTCAACACCCGGCCGAGACAACGGGGCTCAAAGCCGGGCGCGGGCTCCCGGGCGCCGAGGGCAGGGGGCAACACGCCCCGCTTCGCTTGGGACCGTCAGAAGGGGCCGGCCGAGGAGGAGGGTGTGGGCCCGAGGGGGGCACTGGGGACAGATAAGGCGAGGCCAGAGTTAATCATCACCTCCCGAGCGCTTGGAAAGGGACGGCCGGGGGCCGGAGGGGCGGGAGGGCGGCCCCGGGGAAAGTGAAACTCCTTCCCCGCCGCTCAGCCCCGCCAGCCTCCGGCAGGAGCAGAGGAACCCTGAGTACACTCGCTCCTCCAGCCCGCCCGGCGCGGCACTCGTGTCTCCCAAAGCCGCAGCCCAGTTCACGGCATCACTAACAACTACTCTAACGCGCGTTTCCCACGAAATCACCTGGGGTAGGGGGCAGGAAAAAAGAGCCAGAGCCACTGGAAATAAAAATGAGTTAGTCCCCCCTGTCCATTTCTAAAAAGAAATACAGCATTCCCATACCGGGAGTCGAACCCGGGCCGCCTGGGTGAAAACCAGGAATCCTAACCGCTAGACCATATGGGAAGTGCTGCAAAGAGAGCTGCGGTGACTCACCTGACAAGCGCAAACGCCGCCGCTGCCCCAGATCCACCGCCCACCGCCACTCCAGCCGCCGCCACCTCTGCGCCACCCGAGCCGCTACCGCCGCTGCCCACGCGCTCGCGAGCCAGGGAACGCGCCCGACCCGAGCGCGCGGGCGTCCGGGGGCGGGGCTGGGTCGCTCCGCCGCCTCAGGAAAGTTCTGAGGCAAGGCCGAGCCAAAAGACTCTCGGCTCTGAAACCAGCTGTTTCACCTCTTTTTTTTTTTAACTCCGCCAAAGGCCCCCAGCCTACAGGTCCGGGCTGCTCTGCTGGTCAAAGTGCGTGCGGACTAGTTGGCAAAGTTGAGGGCGGCGACGTCTCTGGGAACAGCTGTTTGCGTTCGGGGCGGAGGCGGCGCGCGAGCTCCTCGGCCACGAGCCAGCGAGCCTAGAAGAAGGGTGGAGGTTCTGGATCTCAGGGAAAAAGAGAGAAGGCGGGATGACGCGGGGACGTGAGGCTTGAGCTTCCCGACCCTCAGCTCAGGTCCCGTCGCGCTTTCGCTGCTTCTCGGTGACCTCAACCCGTTTATAGCAACCCCACCTCTCCGGAGCCGGGAGTACCGCCCCTGGAGGGGGAGGGGAAGGAGAGGAAATTTCGAACGCGGATTGAGTCGTCTGGGCACCCGTAGTTGGGAACCGTGGAACACTGGTCCCGGGGAAGAAGGGAGGTGTCCGGCCTCGGAGGCTGTTGTGGGCCTCGCGGTGAGCTGGGCTCCGACTCGCCCCGCGTGGGGAACGCAAGCCTCAGCCGGGCCCGGAGCGACCCGCGGAGCGGCTGGGCCTGTCATGTGAGTCGGGTCTCCGGCTCTAAACAACGAGGTCTTGTTTCTCCGGGCGGCCCTTTCCCCCTCCGGGTCTCTCGCTCCGCCACCACCCCTCTCCCCCCGCCCTCGGCCGGGGGGCGTGACGGACGCTCCTTTAACTCGCTCGGGGCCGGCAGCGGACAGGCGGAGCCAGTTTTCTGTGCGGGGTGGGGATGCTACCCCGCAGAGCGCCCTGGGGGCCTGGAGCACGGGCTCTAGGAGGGAGGCTGGCGGCCCCTGGAGGTTGGACGGCCGCCGCAAAGCGACGGAGCGCTCCCGCCACCTACACGGTTGGGGGCCGAGAGCATCCTTCTGGTTTCTGTAGCGCTTGAACCGTGGGGTATTGTGAAATTGTAGGGTTGGGCTGCGGCCACCGCTGCCTCCTCCGCCTACTAGAAGCGGCCAGCCTTGGTTAGCCTATGAATTTAATTTTTATTTTTTGGTCTTGCCGGCCGAGAGATCCTTTGGCTTTTCTAAATCTCTCTTGCCATGAGGCTCAAGAACAAACTGTATTAACTGATAGTCTCAGAGGAACCACGGCCTCCCACCAGAGGTGTCTTATGTTTTGTTCTTTGGGTAGAAATAACTTAATTTAAAGTGAACTTTATGAGTTTCTTCATGTTTCAATTAACAGTAATCTCCAAAAATGCCAGAAAGGAATGGAAAGAATAGATAATCTTCTGCGAGATGTTCCTTATTTCTTTACACTGATGACATTAACAAATGAGGCATTTTTTTAAAAGCTATTTTGTTTAAGGGCGTTTTAAATCCGTTGCAGACTTTTTCCACTCTACTGGCAACAGAATTTCAGTTGACTGATTTCAGTCAGCTAAATAATAAAGCAGGGTAGCCGGGCGCGGGCTCCCGGGCGCCGAGGGCAGGGGGCAACACGCCCCGCTTCGCTTGGGACCGTCAGAAGGGGCCGGCCGAGGAGGAGGGTGTGGGCCCGAGGGGGGCACTGGGGACAGATAAGGCGAGGCCAGAGTTAATCATCACCTCCCGAGCGCTTGGAAAGGGACGGCCGGGGGCCGGAGGGGCGGGAGGGCGGCCCCGGGGAAAGTGAAACTCCTTCCCCGCCGCTCAGCCCCGCCAGCCTCCGGCAGGAGCAGAGGAACCCTGAGTACACTCGCTCCTCCAGCCCGCCCGGCGCGGCACTCGTGTCTCCCAAAGCCGCAGCCCAGTTCACGGCATCACTAACAACTACTCTAACGCGCGTTTCCCACGAAATCACCTGGGGTAGGGGGCAGGAAAAAAGAGCCAGAGCCACTGGAAATAAAAATGAGTTAGTCCCCCCTGTCCATTTCTAAAAAGAAATACAGCATTCCCATACCGGGAGTCGAACCCGGGCCGCCTGGGTGAAAACCAGGAATCCTAACCGCTAGACCATATGGGAAGTGCTGCAAAGAGAGCTGCGGTGACTCACCTGACAAGCGCAAACGCCGCCGCTGCCCCAGATCCACCGCCCACCGCCACTCCAGCCGCCGCCACCTCTGCGCCACCCGAGCCGCTACCGCCGCTGCCCACGCGCTCGCGAGCCAGGGAACGCGCCCGACCCGAGCGCGCGGGCGTCCGGGGGCGGGGCTGGGTCGCTCCGCCGCCTCAGGAAAGTTCTGAGGCAAGGCCGAGCCAAAAGACTCTCGGCTCTGAAACCAGCTGTTTCACCTCTTTTTTTTTTTAACTCCGCCAAAGGCCCCCAGCCTACAGGTCCGGGCTGCTCTGCTGGTCAAAGTGCGTGCGGACTAGTTGGCAAAGTTGAGGGCGGCGACGTCTCTGGGAACAGCTGTTTGCGTTCGGGGCGGAGGCGGCGCGCGAGCTCCTCGGCCACGAGCCAGCGAGCCTAGAAGAAGGGTGGAGGTTCTGGATCTCAGGGAAAAAGAGAGAAGGCGGGATGACGCGGGGACGTGAGGCTTGAGCTTCCCGACCCTCAGCTCAGGTCCCGTCGCGCTTTCGCTGCTTCTCGGTGACCTCAACCCGTTTATAGCAACCCCACCTCTCCGGAGCCGGGAGTACCGCCCCTGGAGGGGGAGGGGAAGGAGAGGAAATTTCGAACGCGGATTGAGTCGTCTGGGCACCCGTAGTTGGGAACCGTGGAACACTGGTCCCGGGGAAGAAGGGAGGTGTCCGGCCTCGGAGGCTGTTGTGGGCCTCGCGGTGAGCTGGGCTCCGACTCGCCCCGCGTGGGGAACGCAAGCCTCAGCCGGGCCCGGAGCGACCCGCGGAGCGGCTGGTCCTGTCATGTGAGTCGGGTCTCCGGCTCTAAACAACGAGGTCTTGTTTCTCCGGGCGGCCCTTTCCCCCTCCGGGTCTCTCGCTCCGCCACCACCCCTCTCCCCCCGCCCTCGGCCGGGGGGCGTGACGGACGCTCCTTTAACTCGCTCGGGGCCGGCAGCGGACAGGCGGAGCCAGTTTTCTGTGCGGGGTGGGGATGCTACCCCGCAGAGCGCCCTGGGGGCCTGGAGCACGGGCTCTAGGAGGGAGGCTGGCGGCCCCTGGAGGTTGGACGGCCGCCGCAAAGCGACGGAGCGCTCCCGCCACCTACACGGTTGGGGGCCGAGAGCATCCTTCTGGTTTCTGTAGCGCTTGAACCGTGGGGTATTGTGAAATTGTAGGGTTGGGCTGCGGCCACCGCTGCCTCCTCCGCCTACTAGAAGCGGCCAGCCTTGGTTAGCCTATGAATTTAATTTTTATTTTTTGGTCTTGCCGGCCGAGAGATCCTTTGGCTTTTCTAAATCTCTCTTGCCATGAGGCTCAAGAACAAACTGTATTAACTGATAGTCTCAGAGGAACCACGGCCTCCCACCAGAGGTGTCTTATGTTTTGTTCTTTGGGTAGAAATAACTTAATTTAAAGTGAACTTTATGAGTTTCTTCATGTTTCAATTAACAGTAATCTCCAAAAATGCCAGAAAGGAATGGAAAGAATAGATAATCTTCTGCGAGATGTTCCTTATTTCTTTACACTGATGACATTAACAAATGAGGCATTTTTTTAAAAGCTATTTTGTTTAAGGGCGTTTTAAATCCGTTGCAGACTTTTTCCACTCTACTGGCAACAGAATTTCAGTTGACTGATTTCAGTCAGCTAAATAATAAAGCAGGGTGCTGTGTGTAACAAGTCAAGATTCAGTAGCAGAGGCTTATATTTCGGCTTCTTTAAGAAGTTGTAAATCACGCAAAAATTTACCTTTTTAAATTGTAAATAAACTTAAACTTGTTTTTCCTTTTCCAGGGCAGACTACTGGAAGTCCCAACCAAAGAAATTCTGTGATTACTGCAAGTGCTGGATAGCGGACAATAGGCCTGTATGATAATTCCTCTATTAAAGATTCTCATAATATTGTATTCATGTGAAATGTTCCTTTTTTTATCTAAACTCAGAGCTTACAAAACAGTTTCATATACATTGCTCTTGATTTTTCAAAACATCGAACAATTTTTGTTGTCTTTTCATTCCTTGTAGGAAAGCTGTGAGCCTTCTTCTTTTTCATCAGCCCAAATTTGATTATGTACTAAGCCAAATTATTTCTCTGTGGCCCTTCAGTCACATTAAGGAACTGGACATTGCGTGGGTAATCGCATTAATGTTTATGAAACACCTACGTTATGATGGTGCTGTTTGTAATGTTGTCGTATACAAAGAAAAGTAAAAGCAGAAAGCCCTTAATATGTAGAAAGAAGCGACATTATTGTACTTTTTCTTGTATGTTTTCTGTTCTAGAGATAGTTAAATATGTTTGATGCAGAGCTTTATATCTCTAAATGCTTAAATTTGAAAGAACATTGTTACCTTTGTCATGGAATATGAAAATAGGAACCTTTAAGCACATTATTACTGTATGTCTTAGTCCAAATTCAGCTTTTAAGACATGAAACAAAAAGCACCATTGATTTTTGGTTTTTTCCCCATCTCATGCATGTCATACTCTATGTGCATAGTACATAAACGGTAGGGTATCTTTTAAATGTATATTCATATCCTTATTATTTGGTAGAGTGGGATGCACAGAAGAACAGTAGCCCCATCTTTAACAGTGTTATGTTTCTTTGATAGACATTTATTACTATTATCTGCAAAGAGTTTAAGGATTTTTTTCTTTTCAGTTTTGTCTTGCTTTTTTTTTGTCTTTTTGAATAGTTGCTAAAGTTCTTGACTATTTTGTTTGACTTAGCCATCCTTACAAAAAAAAAAAAGCCACAAATTTTAAAAGCTACACAAATCACTGATAGTCTCTTCCCTGGAAGTATCCAAGCAATTCAGTGTTTTTGAATGATCTAGAGCAGGGGTCCCCCACCCCCAGGCCTCTAGTGGTACTGGTCCATGGCCTGTTATGAACCGGGCTGCACAGCAGGAGGTGAGTGGCAGGCAAGCGAGTGAAGCTTCATCTGTATTTACAGCCGCTCCCCATCGCTCACATTACCGCCTGTACCAACACCACCCACCACCCACCCCAGGGAAAAACTGTCTTCCACGGTCCCTGGTGCCAAAAAGTTTGAGGACCACCGATCTAGAGTAAATAATTCCTTCTAGGATAGTCTTTCTTCATCTTCTTGAATTGCTAATATACATTGATATAACCTTTAGAAACAAAATTAATTTGGTTTTGAACAGGCCTTAAATATTCTTTGTGTAATATAACCAACTTTAGGAAACGAACATATGAAAAATAGAGGATGAATATTTGCTTTATGAAGTCACACTTTAAAGAGGAATTCACAGCAGTACTTTAGAATAATAAGCAAATGTGTTAGATAAGAATTGACTGACAAAACTTATTCTGAAAAGTTACCAGAAATTTCTTACTGCATACAACAACACATTTGTAATTTATGGAGCATTCTGGCTGTTAAATAGGTAATAGCATTCACTCACTGACTCTGTCCCCATCCATCCATTTACCATCTTTCCTCATAGGTTACCACTTTTTAAACTTTCTTGTCTTTCCGTCCATTGTTTCTATAGGCATATAGATACAGGTTCTGATTCTAGCATGCATAGAAGGTAGCGTGCTGTTTACACTGCCGTGCATCACAGTTGTTTTTTTTTAAACTGGACACCATATGCTGGAGCTCTTTCATCATCAGTATATAAGGAGCTTCTTTGTTCTCTATTGCAGCAGCCTAATTTTGACAGATAGTGCCAAATTGCCCTGCATAGAAGTTTTACATTTTGTACCATTACCACATAGTAATAGTATTTGTATACAGTTTAGGAGGAGTTTTTTAACATCTACTTTTCTCGCAATTTGGAGGAATAAGGTTCTAAGAATCATTGTTTATTCTCTGTGTCTTTTACCTAATTTGGCAAGTAGAGCAGTACAAATTCTAGAGATTCGCCGGTTTTGACATTTTATGTTGAGAGGTGTTTCTTGAAGTTAAGATTTTTTTTTCCACTCCTCCTTTGGCTTCATGTCTTGTTTGAGTCCTCTTTACAATCATATTCACTAACTTAGTCATCAAGGGTACCTTGTATATTTCTCTATTAATACGGTCATCATAGTTTATTTTAAGCACCAAAGGAAACCTAGTCAGAGAGCATAATAATAAATAATGTGTTTCAGTTCCTTAGCATCATTTGATAAAAAGGACCAATTTGCATTAGAATTATTATCTTTTCTGCCAATTGTAATTCAATTTTGTTATGTTCCATATCTTTATTTACTGTTACTTTGCTGTGAACATTATGTGTAGTTTTCCTTTGTATTTTCTTTTTTTTTTTAATCTTCAAGAGCATTGAATTTCATGAAAGAGGAAAGAATCATAAGGAAAATGTGGCAAGGAGGATCAGTGAGGTAATCTAGTTTGTTTCTTTCTTTGCCAATTTCTCTATGTAAATATCAGCCCTTTATCTAGCTTTCACTTTTGTATGTGTCTTGCGCAGATTAAACAGAAAAGCCTGGATAAGGCAAAGGAAGAAGAAAAGGCATCAAAGGAGTTTGCTGCAATGGAGGCAGCTGCCCTGAAAGCATACCAAGAGGATTTGAAAAGGCTTGGCTTAGAGTCAGGTAAAAAAGGAGCCAGCATGTTTTAAAAGTAACATCAGAGGTCATGCTAAGTGAGCTCTTATTGTTTCCATAGAGAGGTTGTACACGTGTATACTCTTAGTGCTTTGCCTGTACATCACAGCCCTATTGAGACTGTGGGACTTTTGCTTGTGCACTTTTGTTTTGCTTTTAAATCTTCATCTTTCAATACCTCCATTCACAACAACTGTGTTACTCTTGGGGTTTCCTAGTCCTCGCTCTATGGTAGGTCAGCGGTTCATTTCCAAGGCACTTGAGTTTTTATGTATTCTAATTATTTGCCTAAACGTATCTATTCATTTAAAAAATTGGCCTTGCATTATAACCCCCGTTCACTTTATCTGTATGGTCAAAACTATGAATCATGTTTATTTATATAATTGAATTATAGTGAATTAACCTTGTGTGGACAAATTAAGTGACTTTACTACTAGAAGGTAGATTTTTTTTTTACTTTTTAATTTTTTTATTGAATATATTGGACATGTATGTAACATTGTGTGTTACTTTGATACATTTATTTTAATGGGATTGCCATTGTAGCAATATTTATCATATTACATAATTATAGTATGATATCATTGTCTATATTCATTATATTGTTCATTAGACTTCTGGCTTATTTACTATTCATTACAAGTTTGTACCCTTAAACAACATCAGTCTTATCCCTCCATTCCCCCATCCCCTATTTTGCTCTGTCTTTTACAAGTTTGACTTTTTTAGATTCCACATATAGGTGATACCATACAGTATTTGTCTTTCCATATCTGGCTTATTTCACTTAGCATAATGTGCTCAGGGTTCATCCATGTTGTCGCAAATGGTACGGTATCCTCCCTTCTCATGGCTGAATTGTGTGTGTGTGTGTGTGTGTGTGTGTGTGTGTGTGTGTGACATCTTTTTTTATCCACTTATCTGTTGATGGGCATTTAGGCTGTTTCCTATCTTAGCTATGAATAACTTAGCTGTGATAATGCTGCAATAAGTATATATCACTTCATAATCCAGTCTCATTTCCTTTGGGTATATACCCAGACGTGAATTAGTGGATGGTATAGTAGACCTATTTTTTAATTTTCTGAAGAACCTCCATATTTTTTTCCTCTGTGGTTGAACCAGTTTATATTCTCACCAGCAGTGTATGAAGGCTCCCATTTTACCACATGCTCGCCAGCAAGAAGGTAGATAATTTGAGGGTGTGAGGATAACTCATTTCCAGATAAAAGGCATTATTTAAGTGGAGTATGTCTATCTTGTCACTGAATTTAGACTTTAAATTGGTAATTTTCTATAAAGCATTTCTTCCATGACAAATCCATCATCCTGAAACCAGATCTCAGTTGTTGATCTTGCATAATGGTCGCAGTAGTCAACATGGAATGGTATTCTTTACTTTCTAACAAAAACTGCTTTTGATTAACTTTTTAAGCAGAGTAACAGTTAAGTTAATTGGCGTTGCTCTCATCACATAAGAACAGTTGTGCCCAGACTTTTTTTTTTTTTTATGTGTTGGGTCTTCGTTGCTGCACACAGGCTTTCTCTGGTTGTGGCGAGTGGGGGCTACTCTTCGTTACAATGCAAGGACTTCTCATTGTGGTGGCTTCTCTTGTTGCAGAGCGTGGGCTTCAGTAGTTGCAGCATGCGGGCTCAGTAGTTGTGACACGTGGGCCCTAGAGCTCACGGGCTTCAGTAGTTGTGGCATGTGGGCTCAGTAGTTGTGGCTCATGGGCTGGAGAGCGTAGGCTCAGTAGCTGTGGCACACAGGCTTCGTTGCTTCATGGCATGTGGGATCTTCCCAGACAAGGGATCAAACCCCTCTCCCCTGCATTGGCAGGCGGATTCTTAACCACTGCACCACCGGGGAAGTCCGTGACCAGACTTTTAAAATATCCTGGACATTATTAGTTAAAAGGCGGGGGTAGTAGTATTTCTACAAGGTTAAAGCTTTATGTTCATTTTAAGGGGAAAAAGGATTGTAGGCATTCC